TTTTTTTTTTTTTAAAGCATGTGCACACATTTTCCTGGCTGTAAATTTTGCTGAACTTTCCTTTAGGCGCTGAGTCAGTTTGGGCGGTTTGGCATAACCTTGAGTAAACTGTAACATTTGTACTTCACTCTTCACTAGAGGACAAAACACACCAGATGGCATTTTCTGCGAGGCTTTGGACTGCGTGTGTTGAACCTGAGCAAGCAGAAATAACATAAAGTAGATAAATAATAGATGACTACTGTAATCCAAGCTGAACACTAGAGATAAAAGCTTCACAACTCATGTTGCGCTCTAGTTTTACTGAAACAAACTCAGCAGCATAGTTGGCAAATGAGGACCGTGAGTCAAAAAAGTGTGTTTTTTTTCTTCAGAAGATCATATTTCACATACCAGAGCCGAGAGTTTTGAGGGTGGAGCGATCGTACTTCTTCACCCACTGGTCTCCATACTTGATGAGGAGGCGGATTGCTGTGGGAGCCCCGTAGAACTGGTTAATCTTGAGCCTCTCAACCATGTCCCAGTACCTTCCTGCGGATCAGACGAGTTTTATTTTTCAGATTTTTCAACATGTGATAAGGACAATCTAAACTTGTTATAAAGGTCAAAGCCTGAGAGCTACAGGAGCTACAGATGATTGTGGCGATTTGTTTGTTCTTTTGTTTTCTTTTAGACATAATAAAGTGGGTCAGCAGATACAGGAGGATTGTGGTTCTGGTTCCTGTTTGTGCAATATTTTTAGTGTTGTGAGGCACGGCCAAATTTAACTTGTTACTCACAGACTGAGATCTAGGCCTGATGAACTCACTCGTGACAAAATAAGATCAAGGGGAAACAGCACTCACAGTTTTCTAACTCTTAAAACGTTTTTCTGTTTTTGGTAATTATCACCTTCATGTTACTGGTATTTCCTGCAAAAACTAATAAATTAAAGGAGTTTAATTAAAGGTCGAGCATTCTTTGAAGGAATGCATATCACCCGCCGCCTTTAATGCAAGAGTTTTATTACAGTATACTCATTTTGTTCAAACCTTGAAAATAACTTTTAATATCTTACTCAATTTAGCAAGATATTGCATGATCTGTCATACTGTTGAGGATGATGCTCAGCTACTACCACACCAAAACTGTAGCTCAAAATATATACAGCTGAGTAAGCTATAGCCACTTTTCTGTTGCTTATGGTCAAAGAGCTGTGGCAGCCATTTTTAACTGAGTTGGCTCCAAAACGTAAGCAGCTGTGGTTATACATGTAGATATAATTTTGTGAAAGTGTCATTGAGATCCACCCAATGGTTCATGAGATATTTTGCTAACAGACAAACAAGGTTGGCTTCAATAGTTAATATTAAAGTTTTGAACTAAGGTTTTGTGCAATCAGTAATGCCCAGAATGTGTGTTGTGGATGACTCTCAGCTGTCACCACCCCATGTTGTAGCTCAATATCTGTCAAACTGACTGACTTATAGCCATTTTTGTGTTTGTTGAGGTTGTGTAGCTTTGGCAGACAATTTGAGTCACGTTGACTCCAAAATGTAAACGGTTGTAGTTGTACATCAAATTATTATTTTCTGAAAGTTTAATTAAAATTCCTCTAGTGGTTTATCAGATATTTTGCTAACAGACAAAAACAGGACAGCCCATCTATCACCTTTTGGTGTTCTCGATAAAACAAACCTAATAAACAGGTAAACACTTATTCCTTGGCCCACTCTGCAGCGTGTGCTTGTACCTGGGTCAGGGTAAATTGGAGTGCTTTCAAACAGAACCGTGGTTCCTCCGTTGGCCAGAGGTCCATAGACGGCGTAACTGTGGCCTGTGATCCAGCCGATATCTGCCACGCAGCCGAACACATCGCCATCATGGTAGCTGAAGACATACTGCAGACAAGATGGAGGGTTGAAGGACATCCTTAAAACTATGCTAAAAGATCACGAAGTAGAATTTTATTTAATTTTATGCTGCTAACATCATAAATGTTGACATACATGTTGCTGTAAACTCCTACTGAGCGCCCTACCTTACATAAAAACATTGTACAAAAACTGGATTAGAGTAAAAACTCAAACTTCCAGACTTTAGCTAGTGAAAAATAAAGTATTGGCGATAGTGTAACTGGTTTACCCTGTGTGTGAGAGCAGCATACAGCAGGTACCCAGCCTGCGTGTGGACGAGACCTTTGGGCTTTCCTGTGCTGCCAGATGTGTAGAGCAGGAACAAGACGTCCTCACTGCCCATCGCTTCAGGCTCACACACCACGTCCTCCTTCAGCATCTCCTGCAACACACAGTGAGGTCACGTAGGAGCAAAGAGGAAGAAACATCAACACAATCTTTTAAAGATTCAACACGCTTACTTTAAAGCTAAAACTATTTGACAAAGTACCACACTGAATAAAGTTGTTTGTTAACATGTTTTTGGGACTGGGACTTCCACACTCCACCTGCACATGGGTAAATAGTTTCCTGTCCAACCACAGTCAGAGGGCTCGAATGGGCCATCACACATCCATGGCCCTCAGCCTCAGCATCGGAGCACCCCAGGGCTGTGTGCTGAGCCCCCTGCTCTAATGCCCTCTATACACGACTCTACCCCTGCTCACCACAGCAACACCATTGTCAACTCTGTGGATGACACCACAGTGGTGGGGCTCATCAGTGTGTGTGTGTGTGTGTGGGGGGTGAAGCACACAGCCCTGGGGTGCTCCGACATTGGTAGAAAGAGACCAGCAGTCTCTGGGTGATGTTATTCCT